ACGCTTGTCCATGCATTCCGCCTACCGTTTCCATAGCTTCAGTTCCCAACGCAGCCATCAGAAACGCGACCGTGCAACGAAGTGTGTCAACGCATGCGCGGCAAAGAAATCTGTAGCACCAGGCGTCATAAAAAGGTGTGAAGGCAGCGCGCACGTTGGTTGCTCCGTGTGTGTGTGCGCGTGTAGTCCGCCGCAGTGTGTACGCGACCTCCGCACCGCACCCATACATGGCTTCCACGTGATGCCCCAACCGCCCAATCGGCATATCTACGCTAAGAACCCTCATACCAAAGCCAGCACCGAGGCACGGCCCATACGTTCATGAATTAAACATAATTATTCGACCTGCTACCGTCCCCTATGTAAAAGCCCTAAGCCCCCCTTTCCCCCTTTTGGCAGATGGACAGCAGCAACAGCAAACCAGCATTCGTGGGCAGCGACAGGAGTGATAGCATTCATATGTGAGGTAAGGTGGGCCTGCTGGCAACACAAGAAATAGGATGCCATAGCATATGTCGTGGGGCTACCATCAGGGGGGATGGGTAAACATTGAAGATGGAGACCGAGGTGAAGCGGGTTGGTTATGAGGGCGGGTTTCAGGGTATCACGTTGGCCCTCCCCTGCGGCCCCGCCTAGCCTAACGCCGTCCTCCCCTGCGGCCCCGCCTAGCCTAACGCCGTCCTCCCCTGCGGCCCCGCCTAGCCTAACGCCGTCCTCCCCTGCGGCCCCGCCTAGCCTAACGCCGTCCTCCCCTGCGGCCCCCCCTAGCCTAACGCCGTCCTCCCCTGCGGCCCCCTAGCCTAACGCCGTCCTCCCCTGCGGCCCCGCCTAGCCTAACGCCGTCCTCCCCTGTGGCCCCGCCTAGCCTAATGCCGTCCTCCCCTGCGGCCCCGCCTAGCCTGACGCCGTCCTCCCCTGCGGCCCCCCAGCCGAACGCCGTCCTCCCCTGCGGCCCCCTAGCCTAACGCCGTCCTCCCCTGCGGCCCCGCCTAGCCTAACGCCGTCCTCCCCTGCGGCCCCGCCTAGACTAACGCCGTCCTCCCCTGCGGCCCCCTAGCCTAACGCCGTCCTCCCCTGCGGCCCCGCCTAGACTAACGCCGTCCTCCCCTGCGGCCCCACCTAGGC